ATTCCTGGCCCAACTGGAAGTCCAAATTATTAAGTGGTTGCTTGGAGAATTAGAGGGAAGGAATTAGCTTTTAAGAGAAATTTCATTTAAGCCAGCATGACCTAATAGATCCTTTGGTTACACCACAGAAATATTTCTTTCTAGAAAGTGTAATGTAGACATCCAGGCTCTCAGAATACTCCTCCTCAGGTAGGACTAGAAAAATTCTGACCAACCTGGGTTTACTGTTCTACCCACTTTAAAAATGAGAGAGTTTAAACATTTGAATCCACTAGCCCAGGAAAGGTGACTGCGGGAGTCTGAACTGAGCAATCGGACTCCAGCACCATTGCTATTAACAACTGCCCCCTATGTACAGCATTATCACTCATGTTTCTAACTGCAAATAACAGGCACAAGAGAGACCAAGAAGTTTGCCTGAGGCATCAGAGTCCCAGACAGTATTCCTTATCTTGTAAAGCTACATTATCTACTTGAATGTATGCCTAGTTCTTCCCTTCCTGTTATCTTCTAGACTCTATTAAAGTCCTCTTTCAATAATTTCTCCTGGTCCCGCCTGTACTACAAAGTATTAAGGGGAGGTCATGGTCAGTAGTGGTGACTATTAAGAGCCCTGGAAGGTCAAAGAGTCTTGAATAGTCTAGCTATGCACCTTCACTTGGAGCCTGTTCCAAATCTAAGACCTTGAGATGAGTTTTATTTTATTTAAAAAGGCAGCAGCTTTTGTAACACCTGGTAACACTCATAAAGAGTAACAAGAGGAAGAATACCATTTTGAAACAATGGTAATGGTGTTGTTCAAAGCATTTTCAGTACTTCATTTGTATTTTACAAATCACATAAAAACAATCGATACTGTGGCCTTATATTAATTTCTACTATTACATTGTAGGATGGGTTATATTAGAGAAACTTCTCAGGTGGCAGCCAATGCACTCAGTGGTGATTTCTGTCTTCCGGGTCTGCACTTTTTGGCCTTGTCCCTGGGCTTTGTTATTCAGCTTACTCTGTGGGCCACCAGGTCACCACAGAGTTGAAGAATGAGGGTAGAGGGAGACAGAAGAGCCGATCCATAAACAGTCATTTCGCCAACACATATCATACCAAAACTAAATAAGAATGCACAAATTAGAGAACTGCTAAGTTGGGAGGGGTGGAGCATTTAAACATTTTTCATTCTAATCATAGAATTAATGATGGATAGGTTGATGGTAATGGATTCTAATAGATGCTACCCACAGAATCCAACTGGGGAGGCCAATGGACAGGATTTTTTTTATGTAGATGATTGTATTCTGAATTTTTCTTTCTGGTAAGTGGAACTTACAAGCTTAGTTAATGATCAACCTCTGGAATTTAAACAGTATGTTTACAGCTGCAAAGAAGTTTAGTGATTAGATGACTGATAATTACATTACTCATCAATGATTGTTTTTGAATGAACTAGGACTGTCAAATAATGAACCTCTCTTTAAATGACACAGAGAATTGCAAGCAAATGAGTTCAGTGTTCATAATATACCAATTAAATAACATGATTTAGTCAATTTTGGGGGGTGAGCTGCCCTTTACCGGGATTTGAGAATTAGCTTCAAAGTGCTTCATTAAATTTGAATGCTTTGATTGTGAGTTTTAAAGGTACAGGTCAACTACGCCTCCCTTGCAGCAGGTTTTTTTTAAGGGAATTTGATCAGTGTTTCTTACTAGAGCTTCTGTATTGTTTTACTTACATAAAAATAGGTGAAAACTATAATGATGTTCACTACAGCATTAATAACAACAGCTAAAATTGTGAACAAGCTACATGTCCAGCCCACATTTCCAAGGCTGAACTGGAGGGTGATGATGAGGCTGTGGTTGCTGGATAAAAATGGACACTTGGGGTATGTCTCCTTGGGTTAAGATGTAGCTGTGGCTGCATGTCACACCCCCTGCTGTTATGTCTGCTGGCTGGACCCTTTTGGGACAAATCCAGCAAATTGTTTTTTCTCCAAATGATGAATATTTATAAAACTTAATTTAAGTATCAAAGTATCAAACACTTTGGCAATAGATGAAACTGAAGCCAGTGGAAAATTAAAGGTCTTTTCAGACCAAAACCTTTATTTTTAGAAAAGGTATTACAGCAGTTCCTTTTCTTATAGTTAGTACTGTTGGGAGAAAACTATTGTCAAAAACTCTTAAGAACCCAATGTCAGCCTGATAAGGGAAGTGGTAATTATACACCTTAGAAATCTGTATGGGAAAACCAGACATCAGATGCCTCAGCCTCATCTCCTGGGATGTAACACAAAAAAAGGAGGAAAAGAATGTCAAGGGTCTCAAGTAGACCGGACAACAGAACTTTCAGTGACTGTGGAAAAGTTTTCTGTGTTGTCCATGAGGCAGCAGATGTGGCCATGGAGCACTTGAAATATGACTTGTGTGACTGGAGAACTGACTTTTTAATCATAGTTAATTTAAATTTACTCCCTTGTGGCTCTATTGGATAGTGTAATTCTACAGTATTTTTCAGTAAGTGTGTGGCTTACAGGAGGAGCCACGTCACGTAATGAAGTGGCAGATAAATTGGTTACACAGTTGTCTGTGGATAACCCTATTTTTCCAAGGGAATCAACTTAACAGGAGGTTGCATTGTCTGGAGAGTAAAAATGACTATAGAAGTCTATTGGTTTTTATTATCATCACATGCTGACAATCCTAAGCAATGTCAGTGATACAGTACTCCTCTATGACAGTGTGGACCACACTGGTTCCTGCTCCCCCACTGGCATATCATTCTCCACAATACTTCAAGTGTGTACAAGGACAAAAGAAAATCGAATGGATTAGTGTATGTGGTAGCTATTAGAGCTATTCACAAATATTTGGTTTTCCTTGTCCTTTCAGGCACATGGTAAAATTTCACTTTCCCACCCTTTAAACTCAAATATAGCCATGGGACTTGCTCCAGAAAACCTTCTGAGCAAAAGCTCTAAGTCAGGAGGTGCTGTACCTTGCTCTCTTTGCCCTTTGCCATGAGCACCTGACAATGTTCCAGATAGTGGCTACACCAATACCCGGATTCAAGAGTGCGGATCATGAGAATGTAGTATGTGCAAGAAACAAACCTATATTTTAAGCCACTGAGATATGGGGGTTGTTACTGTCACCTAATTTAGTCTGCCTGACAGTGTACCTACTAATTTTCCTTAGGAATTTCAGAATTTAAAGGTGGAATTAGAGCTTAGAACTGAAAGAATAAACAGTTGAATTTCAAGAACTTATTCTCCATAATTTTTAACTCTTCAGAGCACATATGAAGCATAGTAGCAATGAGCTATCAACCACCCCCAATTCATTTAATATCACATGGTTCTTAAGAGGGTATAGCTTCTGATAGAAAAATGGACAAAGGATTATAAAGGAAGGTCACTGTAAAGCAAACATAAGATTCTTAAATATATAAAGGATGCTCAATTTTACTCAGTGAATCAGGGTCGTTAGGGTATGCTGCCCAAGAACACAGCTAATACAGTAGCATAACCCAAATGGGTATCTCTCACTTGGGCAGCCTGGAAGGGGTTGAGCAGCTTTCCTCCATCTTACAGCTATGCCATTTGGATCATTGGTCTCCACTGGTATTACTCTTGATTGCTTTGGAGGGAAGTAATTTATCACTACCCCCATTTTGTTGGCAAGAATGTCATTAAGACCTCTATTTAAATGTGTAAGGGACTGGGAAAATACATAGTTTAGCTGTATGTCCAGGGGAAAAAAGCCATGGTATGCACATGGTTTTGCCTCTGCCATACTTAAAAATGAAAAAATATAGTATCATTGCCCCTGTTGAACTGGCACTGAATCTGCCAATACACACAATTTCTGACTCCACCATTCTACTTCTAGGAATTATGCTACAGATAAACTAAGATTTTTTTTTTTTTTGGTAGCAGATTGGGAGAAACCTTAAATGTTCCTTGGTAGGAGCCACATTAAACAAACCAGGGTATATTCTTATGATGGAATACCATGCGGTAATAAAAATGAGTAAACTCTCTGTGAACTCATCTCTGAGGTATAAAACTACCTGAAAAAAAGTGTAATATCCTACCATTTGGATAAAAAAAGAATACTTGTGTTTGTACATTTACAGAAATGTCTTGTGATGAAAATTCTAAAAACTGGTCCCACTGATTGCCTCCAGAAGGGGAACTGAGGTGGGCAGAGACTTTAACTCATATCTTTCGAATTTTCAATCACGTCAATGTATTACCTAGTCAAAATTTTAAGTTTATAATGAGGTGATGAATTCATCTTTGTTGGTTGGCAAAAGGGAATATTAGTACCTACATCTTGTGGTGGTGTAAGCAATTGCTCTATTTCTAAAGAAAACTATTCAATTTGGGTGTTTGGATCACGTGGTTATCTAGCTAACAGGAACATAGCAATGCGTTAGCAAACATGACAGAGCAAATAGGAACAGCTTGTGTGTGGGGGGCAGTTCAGAAAGTCTCTGTGACATTTAATATCTGGGAGTTTCTGCATCATAAAGGCATTAAGAGTATCCAGTGTGTCTGAGGAACAGCACGTAAGCTGCATCATCAAGAGGACAGCAGTACGTCAAGGTCAGTGGTGGGAGAAGGAAGATCATGAAAACTGTTAAGGACTTTGGTTTCCAGCACAGTAGTGACCTGACTTTAAAGGAACCCTCTAGCTGCTGTGAAGACAAAATTGGTAGGTAGGTTAAGGATAGGAACAAGCCCTTCTGGGTGATAGGTAATGCTGACCTTTGGCCTGAACCCTTCTTCTACTTCCCAAACTAGCATTTGGAATAGTTTGAAAACAATTTTTGGATGCATGCAAGGACCACAGCTGAAAGAAAAATCCGTAAGACTAAATACTAGATATTTTCCCTTGAACCATTGACAGTTCCTGCCATGTTTTGATACCTTTTTGTAGGTTATTTGGTTTACTTTCAAGTACATCAATATTAGATAACAAAAGATAACAGAAGGTCGTTTTAGTTTAATGAACATTTATTCCATTGGCTGAACAACTTCTAAACACAAAATATATGGTTTAAGATTTGAGTGGGAGGGCCTTAAATCTCAAAAGGTTTAATGAGCCTGCTACATGTTGTCTGGAATTCTTTACTGGGTCTTTTAAGACCCCTGAATAAAACAGGAGAAAAACTGGCTTAGGGAAACCAGCAATTCCACTTTTTACAAAATATTTATATTTAAGTCAGCAAATCCCTACTATCACACAGACTTGGGGCAATTCCTCTTCTGCAACTACACCCCAAAATGCACCCTTAAGGTGGGCACAATTGATGGCCTGGCAAGTTTGGATTCTGACGGTAGTTTGAGCAAAGATGAGAAAAACAAATGTAGACGACATGTAAGGTTAGATTGCAGATCATGAAGAACTGTTTGTACTGACACCAACTGACCTCAGTGACCCTGTGGGATATTATGTGGGTTGACCCAAGATGACTCATGACTGATTGAACTGAGCAATGTGTTTTTAAATAAAGTCAACAATTTTTCCCCAGAGGAGAGTTCATGATGGTCACAAATTAACACTTAATAAAGCGTTTAAAATTCTAGTTAAAGCTAATCTTCTACCCCCACACTCATAAAGGTTATTTGATGGCAAGTTTTCCAATCCTAGCACCAACTAATAGCTTACAAACCTTCCTTCCCCAGTTCTTCAGTATTCTAGAGATCCCATGTAGTTAGGGACTGAACCAGCAGCCTCCACCTTTTATGTGCTTAACAGCACTATAGAGACACCAAGACAACTTTCATCTTAACCAAGGTATTTTCACTTCTAAGAGAATCCTCTTATGAGTTTATTCAACTCTCCTAAAAAATGATGGCTTTTTAACTTTTTTCATGAGCAGCAGTTAACGTAAATGGGAGATTGGACAATCTAAATGTGGACTTACTCTAAAAACATTTTTATGCATATGATCATGATAAAGAACTAGGATATCCTTCTCATTTCCATGTAAAATCCCATTTAACGTTTGTCCTTGCCAAACAGCAGAGACAGCCACTTGTGAGTGTAACAACAGAGCACTGCACAACCCCGTAAAGCTGTAGGTTTCATCACATGCATAACAAATCTACATGGCTAGCTTCTGCATTCCTTTTACATAATTTATTTTACACCTATTTTACCAAAGCATTGTAAACACTGACATAAATTCCCTAGTAAGATAAAGCAAGGACAAAACGTTTCTTACTAGAAACAGGATATACACCATCACTTATAGTATTCAGACATTATTGCACTTTAACTTTCATAATTTGACAATGCTTTCATGAAACAATCTGCAGACTAGTTTTAGCAGACAAATTAAAGAACACTTTTAAGCAGACACAACTGTCCTAAACTGTTTATTAGGTGAGAACTTTACAAACATTACTCCTCAGCGGTAGCGGTGCAGCTGCAGAGTGTTGCGCCTCCTCCAGGCGGCACGGCGGGAACCACCAATGGTGTGGTGGAACTTGTGGCCTTTTCCAAGGCCACGGCTCTTGCGGCCTGCTGAGGTCAGCCCTCGCATCTCCCTGTGCTTGTGGACTGGCTTGGTGATCCACTGGGTGTCAGGATTTCTTCTGATAGCTTTATGGAATGGATCAATGAGGATAACCTCAAAGAATTTGTATGTGGAATCTTCACCAACCCAGTAAGAATTGAGTACTCTCAGAGCCCCACAGTGGCGTCCAGCTCGTTCCTACAATAGTAAAAAAGGCCCAAAGTCAGCCTCCCACATTTCCCAGAGTAGCAGATTAGTAAGAATTCTCTTTAATTCACCACACCACTGTATAAGAGACTGAGGCTATTCACTTAACTACTCAAAATATTTTTACTAAGCATCTCCCCACAGGCTGGACTGTATGATATGGTAGACATACTAAAGTAACACATACAGACATCCTTAATTTTACAGTTCCCTCTTTTTATTACCCTTCCCTAAGAAACAAATGTTAAAAAAATCTAAATTCAGGATTCTGGAACACTTTTTTTCTGATACAATAGAAGGGTTCGCAAACTTTTATAGAAAATTTTAATTTAATGTATTATATTTTAGGCTTTGCGGGCTATAATGCCCCTTTTGCAGTCTTGTGTTTTTTTTTTTTTTAAAGCAAAACATTTTTAGGTCATGAAAGGCAACAGGGCCCTTGTTAGCCAACTGCTGCAACAGAGCATAGCTTAATTTATTAATCCAGAAAGACAACTTGCAAATGACCAAGAAAATCAGTAATATGAGTAAAGGTATAACTTCTATGCTCCTGGCGAGATTTGAAAAAAAACTTAGTGCCCTTAAAAAGCTTTGATTCCAGGTTCACACTAATCACAAAACATACTTTCCTATACGAGCAAAGACAATCAGTAACAAAGATTGGTTAAGTCTTTGACAGCAATTCTCCACCAAGATTTAGTAGTCACAATAGGACTCCCCTAGGTCCAGGTTAACAATAGAAAAGGTGCTCTAATCCTTCAAACTGCAGGTGGTGACCAATGAACTGCTACTCAATAGGCACTTACCTCTGCAACAGACTGAAGGCTTCTAGCAAACTTTAGCTGGTTAACACCGTGATGCACAGGTTTGCCGTAGGTTGCACCTTTAGGAACTGGGCGTTTGCGACCACCACGGCGCACCCGAATCCGATATATGACATAACCTACAAAGACAACATTACCATGATCTTATAAAAGCTATGAAAAGTGGAAGACTCAATGACTTGTTACTAATGCTCCAACATTACTTCAGATAAGTAAGTCAAACACTATGTATGTGATGGGAAGTAAAATAAACACGTTTTAGACTCACATTAAAAAAGAACATTCTAGTATTTTCCACAATACGTATGTCAACTACACAGGGAGATAGTGTCACATCTCAGTCCCACTCGTTTTCGTTTAGCTCAGGATCATAAAGATTTGAAATCTGTGACACCCTTGCTCCTTTAGGCCACTGTGTGCACAATGATTCACTGGTAGACAACTTCTATGCATCCCTAGCTGAAGACTGCTTCTGCCAAAGCCCAAAGTGACGTAAGATGCTGGGGCGCTAGCACCTCTTCCTCGTCACGGGTTTCTGGCAGTTCCCGGAGAATGTAATTTCATCCAAGCATCTACACAAAGGTCCCACTCACCTTGCTTGGCCTTGTACCCCAGCCTGCGCGCCTTGTCGGGCCGGGTGGGACGGGGGGCCCTGTGGAGCGCCGAGAGCTGGCGGTATTGCCAACAGCGCACCCTGAGAAGAAAGCGCATTACATCCGACTGCTTCTTCCTCCATAGTTCCTGGATGTACTTGTAGGCGCCCATCTCCGCTTACCTGCAAGATAAAACCGGGTATTAGACATTTCACCCGCTTAAAATATACAGAGAAGACCCCGTCCTCCGTCCATCTTGGTTGCCCACTAACTGCAAGGATGCCAGAGCAGGAAAATGGCTCTGCACGAACTGCAGGGAGATGGCCGACCCAGCCCTCATGCCGCGCCCACGAGCCGCGCGGTCACCCCGCCAACCAGGCAGCGCGGATAGGCACTCCGCGTTTCTGCCGTACGAAGGAACGCGGACGCCGAGGGGCGAGGGGCTGCGGCAGGCGGCGCCCCAAGGGCCCGGGCTGCAGGGAGACCTCGCCTACAGCAGAGGAAGGTGTTAACGTCCCCGCCGAGGGTTAATCCCCAAGAAAAAGCAAATATCCCCTTCAACCCGCCGGCCTCACTTTCGGACGCCCTAGGCCCGGATCCCCGCTCCTCAACTCCACGCCTCCTTTTCTTTCATGCGCCGGGCTCTGCTGGAAACGGCGCCATCACACCATCCTCCACCCCGCCCCGGGGGAAGCCTCTGCATTGCCGCGCTTTCCCCCCATCATGATCGCACCCGCGCCGCACAGCAGGCAGGACAAACTCCGAGGACGCAGGGTCCCCGAGCCTGGATGGCTGAGGCGAACAGAGATGAGCGGCGGATGGAGGAGCGAATACAGCCCACACAGCCTACCTGATGGCGGCCGCCAAACGGAAAGGAAGACCCTTTCTCCCACAATGCTTTTGGGCTCCTCTCCCACAGGAGCTAGCGTCTTTCCGGTGGGAAGCTGCGGCCGCCCGGCGCCTCATGGGACATGTAGTTCCGGCAGAGAGCCGGTGTGGCGGGGGGGTCGGGTTAGGCTGGCCGTGGTGCAGTCTGCGCTGCTGTCTCGCCCCTGCTCCTCAGGATTCCGGCTTGAGCGGCAGTGGCCACCCGAGGCGAGAGTCCGAGGAGAGGCCTCGGCAGCCGAGCGGCCGCGACCGTCCAGCCGCCGGGAAGAGGCAGGTTGGGGGCGGGGCTCCGGTGGCCGGAGCTCTCCGGGGAGGCGCGTCGGTCAGCGTCTGGAGGCGGCGGGTCCGCCTGGCGCAGTGCAGGCCCCCCACCCGAGACGTCGCAGCGGGGCTGCGGTGCGGCGCCGCCCCCTCTCCCCCGGGATGGGCGCAGGAAGATGGGCCCCGAGGGGGCCCTCTGGCCTCTGGGCACGGCCCCGGTCGCCCAGTGGGCCGTGTGCGGTGCCGGGGCTTCGGAGGCCCGGCTCGGAGGGATTTTGCCCTACAAAGGACCCCGGGGAAGGGGGAGCGGGCGGCTCGGCGCTTCTCCATTTCCTTGCCTTTCCTGCCTGCGGCTTTGGTCCCAGGTTTGCCCCGACAGAACCACAGTTTTTTTGAAAGGCAAAACATGTATTTGCCAAGACCTGGTTGGCAGGTGCGAGTGTTTCGGAAAGAAACGGCGAGAAAATACTGGCGTTTTGCGTTGCGTTCTTAATTCAAAAATGGTTTACTAGCATTTTTGCGTCTCCAGAACATGCTCATTTTTTATAATCACGTGGTTTAATCTTACAAATTGTGTGGCCAAGGTGTCAGAGAATTATATTTACCTTCTAGATTAGCGGGTTTGGTTATTTTTTTCCTGTTTTCCTTTTTGTTAATTGCAGCTTTGCCATCATAACAATCCTCACATGGTTTGTTATTTCATTCAACAAATACTTAAGAAATGCTTAATACGTGCCAGGCAGTGTCGCAGGTGCTGAGGATGCAACTGTGGTCAACGCCGATTTCATAGCATTCTTGGAAACGGGGAATAAACATAAGTGAGATGTATGTTAATGTCGGTGTTAAGCGCTAAGGACAAACATTGGCGGGAAGGAATTAGGCAGTGTTCGGGTGGGAGTCAAATGTTTGGATGGAATAATCAAGGTAAGTATTCCTGAGATGTTGGAGAAAAGACCTGAAGAGCCTTGGAGATGTGGGGCCGATTTAATAAGTGCCTGAAGGCGGAAGTTTGCCCTCATTGGAGCAGAACCAGCAAGGAGGCAGTGGTGGCTGTGATCAACCACAGGGGAAACTAACAGATGACGTCAGAGAGGTAATAACCAGAACTTAGGTTTTTCAAACTGTCTGAGATTTGGAAACCATTGGAAGAATTTGAGCAGAAGGGTGACTTCATGTGGATTTATGGATCTCAGCTCAGCGGCTAAAAGGAAGGAAAAAAGTGGAACCCGACTAGGAGGTTGTATTAATTCTCTATTGCTACTGTAACAGATTAAAGCAAATTTACTGGTTTAAAACAAATTTATTGTCTCGTAGTTCTGTAGGTCAGAAATCTCACTAAGCTAAAATCAAGTTGTCAAAGGCCTTTGTTCTTTGTAGAAGCACTAGGGGAGAATTCATTTCCTTGTCCTTTCCAGCTTCTAGAGGCCACCTGCATTCCTTGACTCCTGACCTCTTTCCTCTTCCTTCATCTTCAAAGCCAGCAATATAGCATCTTCAAATCCCCATTTCTGTCTTGCTTTCCAACACTCCTCTCTTATAAAGGCACTTGTGATTACATTGGGTCCACTCAGATAATCCCCATCCAAAGGTTCTTAATCACAGCTGCAAAGTCTTTATCTATGTAAAGTAAAATACTTTACATCTTGGGTGATTATGACATCTTTGAGAGAGCAGGTGAGAGAAGATGGTGCCTTGGACCACTTCATTAGTGATGGTGGTCCAGCCCTGATGTGTTTCAGAGATAGATGGATGGGATGTGGAGTGTGAGAAGAATGAGTGGGGAATGATTGACTACACAGTTGGGTGTCATTTGAAAAGAAGATTCTGGCAATGTGACTAATCACTGCTAATTATTAATTAGTGTTAGCAGTTTTGTTGCTTAATTTGCCGTTTCTCAGCTTTGCAAAGATTTGGATTGGTATTTCCAATTGATCTGTGAGATTTCTGAGGACAGGGGTCATTTCTGGTTTTGGCCCCCCATTTGTTCCTCATACCTGGCATTATGGTAAGCCCTCAGTGAATATTTACTGAATGAATAAGAGAGTGGTAAGATCTGCTTAATGTATTTTATTATGTGCAATATTGTTAGCCAAACCCATTTAATGAAATTTTAGGTATGTATAATGTATTCATACATGGATAAGTAAAAGATTGATCACAGTACATGAAGTTTATGTAGATAAATACGCAGTTTGGAAGTTTTCCAGTGTGATGCTCATGTAGTAAGATATGTAACATCTGTCTATGATGTTAATAGTGTTTCAGTATTAATATTTTTCTGTTTTAGAAGTGCTGACAATTTGGGAGAGCTGCTTCTAATTGCTCTTCAAAGAGAATATTGACTAAGCTCAGTGTTTTCTAGAGGAATGAACCAGGTCATGTTTTTATTTTCTAGCAACATTATTGATTAGCCTGGAAAGCAAAGCAATATGTAAGACTGCATTGGATGCCTATTAAGCATGTTCTTGTAGTCATTTACATCAGCTGAGGAATTGTCAGATTGAATTTTGTTGTCCAACAGTTTTTTAGCATATGAGCTATAATGAGTAGCTCTAACTACTGCTTTTTGTACTGACCCTAGTGCTGATGCAGTTTCTTGGTAAGTAGTTTCTGCTCTCATAGCAGTTCACTGTTAGAAGGAAACTTAAAGGTCATCCATCTACTCTGGAGCCTTTAAAACTCTTGAAACCTAGGCTTATGTAGGAGGCTTGGCCACCCAGAATCTGTTCATGTGATTTAGGACCCATTCATACTGCAGATGACTTCCTTTTTGTATTTGGAAGGAAATCGTGCATATTTATTGTTTGGGAATTATGAAATATCTGTATAGCATTAAGCTTTTAGTAGCTTTTGTTTGTGAATTTGGGTATATATGTGTGAGAACCACTTCTTATATATAGTATGAGACCCCACCATTATGATCATATATAGAAAATAAAGTACTTTTGTATGTGTATTTAATCTTAGTAATTCAAAATCTTACATAAATATTTTTTAAAGAGATAACACTTTTTAATTGATAGCAGTAGGTCACCAATCTTCAATTTTAGGTAGTATTGATTCTACTTGAAGACAATTGGGAATTTAGAATGTTTCAACTATTCTTTGATTAATCACACTTATCCTTCCATCTTTCTTTTCTTTTTGATGGTGAATAAAATAGTTAACATGGTCTATTCTGTTATCTCTTCCCTTCTCTTTCCTTTTAAAAACCTTTAAAATCCTTACCTGTGTTTGTGTTAACCTCTATTCAGTTACTTTTACCATTTGCCCTTGATAAAAACCTCTCAGATATGCTAAAACAAATGCCCTAATTTATTCAAACACATGTAGTACAGATTTTTAGCAAACTTTTTCTGCTAATCCTAGTCTCAGTGAGTGATCAAAGTACAAGTGTAGTATACCACTTTTGAAGTAGGTTTATTAAGATTTCCAAAAACTCTTTAGAATATTTGATCTCTGAGTTTCTCAGGATTTGGTTGGTTTCAGTATTTTTCCAGTTTGCTGTAGTCCTCAGCATTCATATTTGCCTCTGTTTTACAGATGATCTGTTGCTGTTAATCATTGGCTGTTTTTTCTGTAGAACTGCCTGCTTTCATTCAACTACAGTATATGCCTGCCCTTTGAAAGTACCTTTTATTATTATTATTATTATTATTATTATTATTATTATTTTTATTTTTATAAAGTGTGGTAAAGGGACTTTTTTTTTTAACAGGAAGGGGAGAAGAGGTAAGCGTTGAATTGTCAGGCTAAAATATTTTCAGAGGAAGGGAAATAAAATAGAAAAATCAGAATTTAGATTCCAACAGCAACCTTTTCTGACAACAGAATTGGCCTGTGCTACCATGGTAATTCTTATCCTCTGTAAGATTTATTTCTTCTCCATCTTCTTGTTTAGTGGCATGTGGTTAGGTGGCAACTTACTGTACATTTTAACTATCATCATTAAAAACCTTTTGAAGAAAGATTCAGTGGTATTCTAACTTAACAGGAGACCCACAATATGCAGAGAGAGTAGAAGCCTATGATAAATGAGGTGACATTAAATTGATCATAAATTCAGAGGTATGTGTAGAAAACCTTTTAAAATAGGTCACAGTTGCTGACATAGGGGACACCATACCACAGATGATCAGTGTTACACTAAGCTCTGCCCTTTATAAATAAAGGCTGAGAATTTTTCCATTGTAGTAATGTTGGGAATGTTTTAAAAAGTCCCCTGAGAGAAGTGGTTCTTCTGGAAGCAAGTGATAAATATTCTTGGGAAAATTTGGAAGGCTCCCAAGCATGCCACCCAGGAAATAATTGTTGCATTGCATAAGTGATGTTATTTTTTCCTATAAGATGTAGTGTGAGGCTCACAAACACATGGAGGCTTAACAACATGCTCCTAAATAATCAATGGATCAATGACCAAATTAAAATGGAGATCCAGCAATATATGGAAACAAATGACAACAACACAAAGTCCCAACTTCTGTGGGATGCAGCAAAAGCAGTCTTAAGAGGAAAGTATATAGCAATCCAGGCATATTTAAAGAAGGAAGAACAATCCCAAATGAATAGTCTAATGTCACAATTATCGAAATTGGAAAAAGAAGAACAAATGAGGCCTAAGGTCAGCAGATGGAGGAACATAATAAAGATCAGAGAAGAAATAAATAAAATTGAGAAGAGTAAAACAATAGAAAAAATCAATGAAACCAAGAGCTGGTTCTTCAAGAAAATAA